CGACAGCTACCTCCACACAACCTCCTCCAACTGACCCACACCCTTGACACACACCCCCTGCTGAACCCCTAACTCCTACTCCACTCCACGTCACCCCCCTAGCACCACTCCTTCGGCTCCCACACACCCACCCCCCTGAGCGGCAGCTGCAGCAGCGGGAGACGGAGGAGGAGGAGGAGCAGGGGACGGCGCACACAACCGGCACCCCCCCACAACCGTCCCCCCCACACTCCCCCACCCCCAAACCCTAAAGCGGGTGGCACGGGGTAGGAGCGTGGGGGACGGCGAGGAGGACGGCGCGCGACCCCCAGGGGCGCCACCACGGGGCAGCGAGGGGCCGCGCGCGGCTCCCCAGGGCGCCGCGACGTGAAGGGCGGGGGCCGCGCGTGCTCCCCAGGGCGCCACCACGGGGCAGCGAGGGGCCGCGCGCGGCTCTAGGGGTGGCGCGCGGCCCCCAGGGCGCCACCACGGGGCAGCGAGGGGCCGCGCGCCGCTCCCCAGGGCGCCGCGACGTGAAGGGTGGGGGCCGCGCGTGCTCCCCAGGGCGTCGCGACGAGCAGGGCAGGGGCCGCGCGCGGGTCCCCAAGGTAGGAAACCGCCGCGCGCCTCGGGGCGCACGGCGGGCAGAAAACCGCCGCGCGCCCCGAGCGCACGGCGGTCAGAAAACCCGAAAAAAAATTCGCCCCGAGAGCACGGCAGGAAGAAGGAGTCGCACGCCACGGGGCGTGCAACAGACAGAGTAGCAGCGGAAGTAGTTAGGTGGGCCCACAGGCCAGGAGCGTAGATGCTCTGATACCATGAGAAACTTAGAACGAGAATGAATGAGAGAGGGGGGGTTCACTAGCAAACATTGGGATACATATAGCAAACCCTAAAAGGGCTGTACTCACTATAGAGTAGTACCCCACTGCAGACTAGAGAAACATAATATTCTGACACACCCCCATAGTCAAAGTGGGGTATAATCAGCACAACAAGCAAAGCAGAACAAGCTCAGGGTGGATCACAATGTCACCACACATTCTGAGCACAAGTACAAGAAGCAACAGTTTAAAGTTCACAAATGTAAGCAAAGCTAGAGGCTATCGCAGAGGGCAAGTGTGGAGAGGAGAGGGACTATGAGAGGAGAGGAGGTAGTGGGCGGCAGCTGAAGCTGCTGGCACACGGCGCAACTGGAGCAACTGGCACACGGGCAACTGGAGCAACTGGCACACTGGCAACTGGAGCAACTGGCACACGGGCTACTGGAGTAACTGGCTCCGCGGCTAACTCTGAGCGGCAGGAGCAACGGACTCACGGGCGACTGGAGCAACGGGCTCACGGGCGACTGGCGCAACGGGCTCACGGGCGACTGGCGCAACGGTCTCATGGGTGACTGGAGCTGCGGGCTTCACGGCGGCCACCCCCCTTCAACCTCCCCAAAATATCCCACCCCCATTTCACACACCCCCTGCTGCACCCCTAGGTTCACTCACACCCCACCCCCTAGCACCACTCCGTCAACTCCCACACACCCACCCCCCTCAGCGGCAGCTGCAGCAGTGGAGACAGAGGAGGAGGAGGAGCAGGGGAGACCACACACCCGCCACCCCCTACTCGCCACCCCCAAACCCTAACACAGGGCAGGACGGGATGGCGGGTAGGGAGGTTACGGGGGGGGGGGGGGGGGGGGGGCGACGCGCGGCCTCCCAGGGCGCCAGAACAGGCGGCAGAAGGGGCGACGCTCGCCCCCCCCCCCAGGTCGCCCGCGGCCCCCCTCAGGTCGCCTCGACAGGCGACGGGAAAAGAGGGGGGGGCGGTGCACGGGTCCCCGGTGCGCCGCGACAGGCGACGGGGCATGGGGGGCGGCGGGGCCGTTAAGGGTCGGGGCAGGGCCGGGGCAGGGCCTCGACAGGGCCGCGGCGGGCGACGGGGCAGGGCCGCGACGGGGGGGCGCGACGGGGGGGCCGCGACGGAGGGCCGCGACGGGGGGCCGCGACGGGGGGCCGCGACGGAGGGCCGCGACGGGGGGCCCGCGACAGAAGGGCCGCGACAGGGGGCCGCGACGGGGGGCCGCGACGGGGGCCCGCGACGGGGGGTCGCGACGGGGCCGCTAAGGGGCCGCAAGGGGGCCGCGACGGGGCCGTTAAGGGGCCGCAAAGGGGGCCGCGTAGGGGCCGCAAAGGGCAGGGCAGGCCGCGAAGGGGCCGCGAAAGGGTAGGGCAGGCCGAGCGCGAAGGGCGCTTCGGGCAGGTTAGGAAAAAAAGTTTTAAGTGGTGGGCCCTTAGGAGGGAACAGTCCCAGAAGGGAACCAGCTCTATACCATGAGAAACTTAGAACGAGAATGAATGAGAGAGGGGGGGTTCACTAGCAAACATTGGGATACATATAGCAAACCCTAAAAGGGCTGTACTCACTATAGAGTACCCCACTGCAGACTAGAGAAACATAATATTCTGACAAGCCGCCCCGGTCATGTACCGGGCATTCAGCTCGACGGGATGAACCCTCTGCTCAAGGGTCTATTCCAACATGGGTACTCCGTGGACGTAGAGATCGCTACAGCACAGACTAAGAAGCTGTTATAGTGGGAGAAAGACTTAGCTGTAAGGAAGGGTTCAGGAAAGTTTTGGGTACCGAATTACGCCCCGCTACGGCAGATCCTATTGGAGGAGTTTCACGACGTACCTTACGCGGGACATTTCGGGAGCAACAAGACGTTAGCGGGGATAGCAAAGTATTACTACTGGCCCGGGATGGCAGCAGACGTGCAGCAGTTCGTCACCTCTTGCGACACGTGCCAGCGGATGAAGAGCAGCAAGCAGAAAAAAGCAGGGTTACTTCAGCCTCTACCCGTACCGGAGCAGCCATGGCAGGCTAGATAATAACATTCTGACAGGAGGAGCTTTACGGGTGACCTGTAGTACCTGTGGTAGCTTAGGGCTGTTTTTGTAGGTGTAGATGAGTTTGTAGCTAATGGTAGTTCTTGGATTTGTATCTATGTAAGCTTTTGACCCTTTTAGTGTATTGTCTTCTCTATTTGTTATAATGTAGCATTGTAGGCTGTACTGAATTTCTAAAAATTTCGGTAAATGTTTAGTCACTATCTCTTTATTATGCTAGTGTACTGTATCTTTACTGTATCTAATGACATTAATGATTTCGAAACTCGCTGTGTTCATCCCTCCTTAGTATCACGTTTTAAATAATGGGAAAAAAAATGTAGGATTAAATGAACGAGTCTGAAAGACTGATAACGAGTTTCCTCTTCTAAACGAGTGCGCGTCGGAATGTATTTGGACGGCCCGGCAGCCAATAGAAACAAATTGCAAAACAAATCGTCACGCGCCAGGTCCCTGTGCGTGTTCGCTCAAATTTCCCGAACCAACTCGGAGGGCTTGGGAGAAATTCTCTGCACCAGTCGATCTCTACTTGTCAGATGTATCGGAAACCAATCGCAATTCGCGGGAAAACGCCAGGAGTCGAAAACCACTCGGCAACAACTCGTTCCCAACAAGTTTCCCACACCCCCCAAATTGGCGATGCTCTCGTTCTCCCTCTCGTTCCCTCTCTCTCGTTCTCTCTCTCGTTCTCTCTCTCTCTCTCGTACTCTCTCTCTCTCTCGTTCTCTCTCTCTCTCTCTCTCTCTCGTTCTCTCTCTCTCTCTCTCTCTCTCTCTCTCTCTCTCCTCTCTTCTCTCTCTCTCTCTCTTCTCTCTCTCTCTCTCTCGTTCTCTCTCTCTCTCTCGTTCCGTCTCTGTCGTTCTCTCGTTCTCTTTTGTCAAATCTCTCGTTCGTTCTCTCTCGTTCGTCCACTCTCTCGTTCTCGCTCTCTCGTCCTCTCTCTCGTCCTCTCTCTCTCTCTCTCTCTCTCTCTCTCTCTCTCTCTCTCTCTCTCTTCTCTCTCTCTCTCTCTCTCTCAAGTAGTCATGTATTGATATGGGTCACAAAGGTACAGGCATGGCAAATGGTGGTAACTAGCGTGACTAAACATGGAAGCAGCCAGGAAAACAGAACTAACAAACAAACCGAGCAAGCCCATCCAGCCAAAGCATACCGATCACCTAGCTCTCATAGCAGCCCGGTCCACCGCAGCACAAGTCCCCGAAAACCCCACAATCCGCCTATCCCTTGTTCCTCCCATACCATAGGACCACCCCTTATCCTCCTTCACCCAGCAGCTTCCTCGCAACTTCCCTGAGACACCTTCCATTCTCCCTGCCCCCACTGGTGCCTGGCGCTCCTCATACTCGTCCACCTGCATCTGCTAGAGGTCTCCCAGGCGGGGCGCCCAAGGGTCCGCTGCAGCCTGAGGGAATGCCGCTTCCGCTGCCCGGTTAGACTTGGAGAGGAGGGATGTCGCCTGGCTACGTTGGAGCATCACCGACCACCGCTGCCTGTAGTGTGCGTTGAGGCGGGCAGCGGTGGTGGTGAGGCGCCCCTGGCGGTACTTCTTCTTCGCCGCATAGGTAGCCAACATACGAAGGAACTGTTGAATGTCAGTCGCCAACGCCCCGTAGGTCTCAACCGCCAAGCCAAAAAAGCCCACATAGCCAGGCCGCCCCTCGTAGAGCCTGTGCTTAGCCTGCGATGCCTCCTCCGCTGCCCACCCCGGCGGCTTCCGCGCCCTCACGTCCCTCCTCTGCAGGACCGGGTCAGTCACCGTCACGTCCGTCGCCCAAGTCTCTCCCGACTCTTGGTCCCTGACGGCTAGGTCAGCACGCTTGTTCTGGACTGGGGGAGAGAAAGCGGTCGTCTCGTGAAAGTTTTGTACCCGGCTTCCTGTGCCATGCGAAGAGCAGCGAAGGTCAGTGCATTGTGGGTGCGTACAGCATCCCCACCATCGGCACACCGTAGCAGGTGGTTGGGCAGACTCTTGTCAGCTATCTTGGAGTTGGACCGCTTGCAGGGGCAGACCTCCGCCACTGGTAGTTCCATGCCAAGGCGCAAGCCTAGTGCCATGGAGAACTGACCAGGGGATATTGAGAGGTCAGCCCTCGTGGGCATTGCATGGAGCCAGTCGCCTGCTCCCACTCCTTTCAGGCTGATGAGCCGAATGGCATGGCCCCGGTCCACCCCCGGCCTATCAGTTACCGTATCTGCCAGTAGCTCCTCCGCCCGCGTATGATTGATGGCTTTGGAGAGCCCCAGCTGCAGGTTGCCCATACCCCTGGGGTTCTCTCTGTAGCTGTGTAGCACCGCCGCGGCCTGTGCTGGGAGCCTTGCCTCGAGCGGGGACAGCGGGTTCACCCGGGGGGGAGGTGGGGTCCATGTCGGGGAAAGAAGATCCCCGGCCCTGTGGAGTAGGTAGTCCGGTGGCAGGTTCAGCTGCTGCAGTAGAAGGTGCGCTGCTGCAGTTGAGGCTAGGTACGCGGCTGGGGCCTCGGAAATGGGATCAATGATTCCCAGGCCCCCCAGCCGAACCGGGAGCGTTGCCTGGCGCCACAGCAGGCTTTGCTCTAGCTCGCTCGGCGGGATCTGTAGCTTCTACGCCGTGAGACCTGCTCCCACCAATGCCTCGCTCCATTCCCTCCACTCCGTTCGGGCCAGTGCCTCCACCGGTGTTGTGCGAAGTAAGTACGAGATGCGGCGGGAAATGCTCCGCGATATCATGAGTAGGGCGTGCTGCGGATTGAGCTGGGCGACGAGGGGTAGCGGCGCAGCTGCCTCCGCAAGCGCCGCCCGGACCTGGTCGGTGCAGAAAGCATCGCTGCCAACCGGGCTGCCCAGCACCTTCAAACCACCTGGGTGGATGGGCAGGCCGTGTGGCAAGCCGTCCCCTCCTTCCTCCCGCACTGCGCACCATGCCGCAGACTTTGCCAGGTTGCACCGCAAACCACACGAAGCCAGCTCCGCAACGACCGTGTTGAAAGAGACGCACGCTGCTTTGCGGGGCCCCACGATTGTGATATCATCGGCATATGCCACTATTGCCACCTCCGGAACAGTTGAACCCACGCCGAGCAGAATAGGCTGGATCGCCGCTGCAAAAAGAAGAGGTCCCAGCGGGTCCCCTTGGCGAACACCCCTGGAGATTTGGATGTGCTCCACTTCCAGGCGGGGGTCCACTAAAAGCCGCGAGGGGCCATCGTAGAGGTTCTTAACGAGCAGGAGCAGCGGGTTGAGGCTGGACCACTGAAGGGCGGCTAGAAATGACGTGCGTTCTACGCTGTTGAAAGCGTTCTCCACATCCAGCTGTAGAGCTATGCGGGTCTCGTCATCTCGGAGTAGGGAGCGAACCGTGTGATAATACACTCCGCGCCCCCAGGGACCGCTACGCCGAACTGAACGGGAAGAAGAACTCTCGGATTTTCGGTCGAAACTGTGTAGCGCCGCCTTTGCTACCACGCGTAGTAAAGCCTCGCCTATTGCGATCGGTCTAACTCCTCCCCCGGGCTTCTCTAATGCTATGAGCCGGGAGGGGAGTAGAAGGTCACGGACTTTTTGGCTCTGGAAGGAACTGGCGAGGCGAGTAACCATGTTTGCGAGGAGCAGAAGGATCTCCTCACTCGCTAGGGCTGGGTCTCTCAGGTGTTCGAAACAGCAGCCTGAAGGCCCCGCTCCCACCCCATTCGGGCACTTCGCGAGAATTTCGCGAAGAGCTTCTAGTGGGATTCTGAGCTCAGAGTCAGTGATCCCGGTAACCCAGGCTGGCGTTGGGGTGCGAGAGGACGGGTGTTTCGCTCTCAGGGCAGTCAACGTCGCCAAATTCGGCTCGGCGAGAGGGCTGGTGCGTAACGCAGCAACTGCTTTCGAAATGTTGCCTTTTTTAACCAAACCCTCTGCCCTCGTGCAAACCCCTTCATCGTCATTTTGGTGTCTAAGCGGAGCACCTGTGTCGGGGATGGTGCAAGCAGCTTCGAACAACCCCTCCCAATCTCCTAACTGGAACTGATGCAGCCGAGCCTCAATTGATGCCCATCGGCTGCCAGTGACTGGCTCTGGTGGTGGACGCAGCGTCAGCCTCGGGAGGTATAGCAGGATCGCCCATGCGCCTGGGCATTCTGGGTTTGATGACAGCCGTAGGAGTGGCGCGAGGAGGCACAGGCAGTATTTGTCTAACACCTGGGGTGGTAGCCGTCTAACTAGGAACGGTTGGTCCATTCGTTGGAGAAGGTCCATGGTCCACGTGCCAGCTATCTGCCAGATGGCGTCGTCTTCTGCCAGGGTGGCAGGCGATTTCACCTCGTTGGCGACCGCTGCGGCCGGGGACCGACCCTCCCACAGCATGGGATGTTTCTCCGTCCGCTCCCTCCCCTGTGCCTCTCACTCGATTCCGCCCTCTTCCCACTTCCTCCTCGTTGTCCAGCGAAACCTCTTCCGACTCTGGGCCTGGCTCCTCTCCACACATAAAATCTGGATCCCCGTTCTCCTCAGCAGAGCCGGCTACGTCCCCATTGGCCGCAGCCTCCGAAACCTCTGGACGGTCGTGACGTTCCCGCCACGGGCCTGTTCGGGGTTGGATCTCCGCTCCCCCCAGACGAGCGACACTCCCGCGCCCTCCCCCTCGCCTTCCGCGGCCCATACCGCGTAAACCCCGGCCCGCCGCCGGCGCCGATCGAGCCGTGGCCTCCAGTCCCGCTCTCCCCGCCGGCATCCACGGCGTACGGCCTCCCCTTGGAGGGCCCCACGTGTCAGTGCCCAGTCGAGCCAAGCGACGATTGGCAACGCCTTCTGCGGCTGGGGCAGCAGGGCTTGGCGGTAAGTGGGCGCCTGCTCCATTGTCCTGGTTAGAGGCCGGCTGATCTGCTTGGTGGGTTGCTGTCGTCCCATGTGCTACCTCATTGAGTCCGGAGACCCCCTTTGCCTCTTGCGTATGCGCAGATGACGACCGACGCGCTCGCTCTGATGGCGGTTGCCCTTGCAGAAGCCAGCCCAGGAGGGGTCCCGGGGAGCCAGGTCCCAGCCCTGCTCCGGGCCGTCTCGGCGCTGGCTGGGCGCGCAACTTCTTCTTCGACTTCGCCTGTGCCGCGCCGGAAGAATCACCGTGTGCGTGTCCTGGAAACTCACCCTCCGCCTGGGCGCACTCCTGCCTGTTTGCGGCCACGGCATCAACAGGCGTTTCGGCGCACGCAGCGGCAGTCATCACGTCTTCCGCCGACGGGGCTCCGCCCTGCTCCCCAGTCGCCGCAGACATCGCCGCCGCCAGCACAGCCGCAGTTACAGGTGCCGGCGACGCGGACAACACCACCTCCGCGGTCTGTTCCTTATCCGCGCCCGGACTTGGCTCCTCAGCTCCCGGCTGTGCAACCCGTGGGATGGCAGAGGATGAAGTTGAGCCGCCGCCAAAGGCAGCGGCAGAAACGCCAGCAGGCACCAGGCCCGCCGCCGTCGCTGCTGCAGATGCAGCAGCAGCAGCAGCCTCAGGCACCATTGCAGCCGCCAAACTGGGTGCCGCAGCAGCCACCAGCTCAGTCCCCGATACGTCGTTTTCCCCTGCCCCTCCAGCCGCAGCCGCCACGTCCCTCAATGCCCCACGTTCCACCGTCACCTCGCCTGCATGCTCCAGGCCCTCAGCCAGTACCAGCCCCTCCATCGTTCCATCAGGGCCTGTATGGCAGCCCCCCCGTGCCGCGTCCGTGGGAGCCAGTGACGCCTCCCGCCCAGCCTCCTCCCCCTGCCGTGGTTCCTGGTGAGCCCCCAACTCGCGTCGAGCAGCGCGTGATGCACGTTGGGACGTGCATGACGCTCCTGTCGTACGTGCTCGACCAGCTTCACGTGACCCTGGTGCAGCAGGAGGTGCGGATCGAGGCGATGCAGCAGGCGGAGCAGTCACCGGCAGTGGCGGTAGCGGAGGAGTTGCAGCATTACCTCCCCCTGATTGGATTTGTGCCCGGTTCCCCTGGGGCTGCCCTCGGGCCCGGCCCTGGGGCGTTGGCACGGCTTGCTGATTCTGCCCGGGAGGATCCGCTCGACCTTGTAGCAGCAGCCGCGTCCGTCCTACGCTGGCTGGACGGGAAGCTGTGTTGGATCCTCGTTGAGTAGCAGAAGCCTTCCCCTTGCTAGGCCCCTTAGCAGCAGGTCTGGGTTTGGGCTTCCCCATGGCGGTGTTCTCACGCCTGGGGGTGTTGTTGTAGCCGTTGTTGTTCTATGCCTGCATGTTGTACTGCCCCATGTTGATATGCCAGGAGTTTTTTGCCTTGT